GCAGAAATCTGGGCCAGAGGCATGGAGTAGCAAGGTCTTTAAGCAGACATATTGTTGTGGGGTGTAGGCAACCCAAATAGCAGCTTCATCATCAGCTTGATGTAATCCCATTTGTTTGTTTTGGCTTTGGCTGCCTGTACTTTTGGTGACTTTTTGAAGAAGTCTTTCCCAATTTCTATATCTCGGAGAGTGTGTCCTAAGTTTTCCTCTGATCGCCTGATGATGTCTGGGTGTAGGTTTAAGCCTTTGATCCATTTAGAGCTGATTTTTGCATAAGGTGACGAGTGGAGGTCTTGCTTCTTATTTCACTCATATACATACTTTTTTGTTGTACTCCACATATTTTTACTTCAAATAAGAAAAAGTCACATTTTTTTTTGCTTTGGAGTACTGGCTTATTTCACTAAGCATAATTGTCTCCAATTGTATTGATTTTATTGAGAAAACCAGTTCTTTATTCTTGTCTTACAGTTCAGTAGTAATATCCCATCATGTGCATTTATCTCAACTTCTTTATCCAGTTATCAGTTGATGGATATAGGGTTGATTCCATATCGTGAGCTACTCCAAACATGGTGGTGCCGAGAACTCTTCATGCTCCATTTTTGTTATTTTTTTATTGTTCTAACGATGGTTTGTGCACACATTTAAACATAATGGGCTTTGAATTTTTTCTGACATATTTAGGCAAATTGCCTTTTCTGCAAATGGAAGGCATCCATACCTTGCGGTCATTTGGGCTGGTGACTGCTCCCTGTAGTAACAGTGTGAGGTTGTGGGGACTTTCAGGCTGAGGACTGTAACCCAAATTTTCCTTTAGGATTCCCTTTACTGTATGCCACCGTCAGATGATTCCACTTTTGAACAAAGTGGGAAAAATCTGAATTTCTTGCTTCACAGATTAACGAACACCTCTCTGTGGGTTGTATTTATAGTATTCTATGAAACTGGAAAAGATAATGTGACTTGCATTCACCTGTGAAATCTGAACTCTCGTTAACTATGCAACTCACCGATTTCTCGTCCGTCTTCAAAGAGTTTCATTCCCAGCAGAGGAAGTTTATTCCGTCCCCAATTCACCTCCATGTTTGCCTCAGGAACAGCAATCTCATTATTTGCACTAATCTACTTTATTATTGATATATCAACATATTAATGTAATAAAAAGCACATAGTCTATTTTGTTTACCAATGCTAACCTTAGACCTTATAAAATTTCCCAATTTTTATTCTTAAACAGTATGCACACCATTACCCAACATTTAAGTGACAGAAACAGAATATAAGAAAAGCCGATCAGCAGCAATCCAAGTGGGATTTCAGTCAAGTCGTGCTGTAGTAGGGACGCTTTCCATGTTGGGAAAGTTTCTCTAGTGCTTTTCTTGTCTCTCATATATTCTGTATCATGAGATTTAGCAACCATTCTTAAATTTACAACTGAGGCCACTACTCCTCCAAGGACAAAGCAAGCTTATGTGATATCAGCCTGTCATCCCAGGTTCAAACATCATTCGTTAACTGCAAAATGATGGAATTAAACGAATATTCTCAAAAAATGTGGCCCTCAGAAGTCTAGAATATCTCCACCTGTTAAAACACTACATTTTTCTCAGCCATTATCCCCCAAAGGAAAATTTGAACTACATACTTTTAAAAGTAATTAGCACTGTCTGCCATTGGTATCATTTATCGCTCTGTTTTCTTTTGTTCAACTCTCTTTTAAAGGACATTTTATTTTTGAGAGAGACAGAATTATTTTCCATCTACTGAGTTACTGCTCGTAGGCCACAGGTGGGAGTTGGACCAGGCTAAAACCATCAGCCAAGAACTCAAGCCAGATTTCACTGTTGCAAGAAGCCACCTTCCAAGACATATTTTTACAAGTTGCCCTTGTTCTACCCCTTTGAATTCTTAAGTTTGATAAGGCCTGCCTATGCTTTCTGAAATTTGTTAACAAGCTTTACAAAATTCAGAGCAGTGACTACAAGCTCAAGATGAAAACATGAACAGTGTAATAACACCAAAGAAACCAGTTTGGTCCATTATTTTAAAGTATTTAAAAAAAAGAGAGAGAGAAAAGCCTAAAAATTGAAATGTGGGACTACCCTTTTCGCTCCTTTGCACTGTAAGGAACTAAAGTGACAAGTAAGTTTCCTCACCAGAAATGCATAAAAAACAAGCCATTTTGTTCTATTTTGTTTTACTTCAATGAAGAGAGGGCAAGTTCAGAACTAGTAATTGGGGTGGTCTTTCTTTTTGTCTACAGAAAAGATCAATGATTTGACAGTAAAGAAGCATTTTGTCCCAAGTTAGGCAAAAACATAGTTCCTTTCCAATCTCACACTTCTTTTTTCTTCAGTTCAAGTAACTCTTGGTGAGACAGTGTCTAGACTTCTTGGAATAAGTGCTGAAATCTGGAGTTTATTTTGTGGGTTTGAAACTGGTTCTTCAGGGTTCCTACACACTTCTATACGAAAATACAATTCCTTCAGATGCATAAAAAATGATGAAGGTAGTTACCAAAAACAAACAAAAGATTAATTAATGTAATAACTTCAAGCTGCTACTGTCCGGAAAATATTACACCGTTTCATCCATTTTATCTTTATTGTCTTGTGGTAATAAATTTCCCATCAACTGCTGTATCAAAATAAAGCACAAAATCATTTGTATTCATGAAAACATTATGTGTGATACTTGCTAGCTTTTGAGAAACATGCCAGGGAAGGAAATTAGCTTAAGGGGTATGCATCCACTCCTGTTATGGATTTAACAAGTAACCCATGGAAATTTTCAAGCCAAAATGTCTTTGCTGGTATCCGAATTCTTCTGAAAGTTCTTTCTTCACTCGATAAAATAAGGCCGTCTCTTATGCACCCAGACCTAAATAATGCTTGTGCAGCCTGGCCTGGATTTTTAAGTCTCACTGTAGTTTCTTTTTGTTTTTAAGGGAATCAAACTGTGTTTAAAGAGCTGGTTCAGCGTTACTTGAAGCTAATAATCTTAAATTCAGAGTTCTTGAGCTAATAAGGTAGACATAGCCATTTCCTCCAAGAGCCTGGTCCTAATTTTGGAAGATCATCACTACTTGAATCTTTACCCTAAGAAATATATGCCTGTCACACCCGAGCTCTCCTGTAAGAGTTGACTGTGCATTTCAGTCGCAAAGGCCAGAGAACCTCTCAGCATCAACCTGTTTCAGTCCTTGCTTAATTTCCAAACAAGTTTCTTAATTTTTGTCTGTTGGGTTTTCTATGACAAAAGAAAAATAAATAAATCTTTTTAAAAAGAAATGTAGATTTAAGCACTCATACATAAGCTTCCATATAACAAGATCTCTGAATGTTTTACTGTATTATGTTCAAAACAAAGGTGATATTATGTTATGCAGCATTTTGGAACACAGAGCACTTTCAGTATGGAAGGAGTAATTAATATTTTGGAAGGCATTTTAAATTAAAGGAAGTTTAGAACTTTTACAGGCAAATTACTTGTCTGAATTTCCCCCTCTGTTTGACAAGGCAGATACCCATCATAAGTCTCAAATACTTATTGTCTGATTGTCCATTAAGGGGCACAAGGATGATGATGGGCAGGGTTTGCTAAGGTGTATGCTGAAAAATTATACCAGCACATCATGGGTATCGGTGAAACGAATATCTATTATGAGCTCAGAATTACCAGCCTCTAAGAGGTATGTAAGATATTCAAGTAGAAGACCCTTCCTATAGCTACAGCTATTGAAGTTTCTTGCCCATTGGAACATCCTGAAAAAAATTAAACATATCCCATACCTTGAAGGATAGATCAGTGTAGACAGTTTAGCCAAAGGTGATGCATGCAGGCCAGAACACACAGGGTAGGGTTCAGGAGTCACTGATAATTTTCAACTAAAATCTTACCGCAAGTGTCACTAACCCTTTCAAGCCATTGCTGTTGGGTCAAATTCCAAAGTAGTTCTTTTTGTAGGTAGTTGCTAAGCCCAACACACATACTGTTCACAGAAACTTGTTTGGTTTAGGACTGGCTCATTAAGACTTTAAATTTTTAACAAAGAGTATGGGAGAGTGTTAAGGATGGAAGTAACGTATTCCAAAGATGCTTTCTTACTATAATTTGAAATGTTTTGCAACAACAAATGAGTCTCCGTTAAAATTATTTCCCGAGTTAAATCATGTCTCCTGAATATTGAAGCACTTAGATACATAAAACATGGCAATTGAGAGTTTTCAAATTATAGCTGGCATTGATATTTGATATCAAAAAAAAATTCAGAAGAATCAGGAATCACAATTTATGCTTCTAGGAATGAGTTGTAATGTTTCTGTGGCTTTTTTCATCACAAATATATATGGTATTCACACTGCAAATTTTATGGAATACTACAACTTAGTGAAAAACAGTTCGGCAATTTCATTTGTTTGCCCTAACAAGAAAAATTGGAACATTAGAGCTTTTAGAAAGGAAGCAGTGACAGTGAGCTGAGACTGGAATGGGGGAAGTAACAGATGTGGCGCCACCTTCTGCAAGACCCTGTGTTTACAGATGTGGGCTAAGGGTTGCCATTTCTGAATGTTGCCACATAACTATTTCTACAGTTTTACCAATTCATATGCTGATTCATTCATTCAACAAATATTTGTCCAGAGCCTACTATGTGATCGAAGTAGTAGTAACATTTCTTTAATAACAAGATAGTATCTTCACCCTCATGCAGTTTGTACTGAGATGTGAGTCGTGATGGCTTTGAGATCTTGTGCAGAGTTTTTATCCAAGAGCGAAGTGAAGAGGTGGGGGTGATAACCATGGAGGTAGTTTTGCTTTGGGTGCGGAGTCAGTGAGCAGAGGAATGCGATACCAGTTGGAACTGGCATAACTCACACAGAGTTTGATTAGATATTGGTTATGGTCCAAATATCTAAAGCAGTCTCACGTGGCATCTAATTCTCTCTCTGATTGGAACCCCAAGTTCACATGGATTTTTCTTTAATTCCCTCTAGTATATGGCTGCTGCTGCTCCTATGCAAGGGACCTACATTCCCCAGTACACGCCTGTGCCTCCGACAGCTGTTTCTATCGAAGTAAGTCTGTTCTTGCCTTACAGAAAGAGGTTAGAGGGCTCGGCGGCGTGGCCTAACTGCTAAAGTCCTCGCCTTGAACACGCCCGGATCCCATATGGGCGTCGGTTCTAATCTCGTTTCGCTCACTTGGGGAGTGAATCATCAGACAGAAGATCTTCCTCTCTGTCTCTCCTCTCTGTACATCTAGCTTTGTAATAAAAATAAATAAATCTTAAAAGAAAAAAAAAAGCAGTTAGAGAAGGTAAACCTTAGTCACACGTGCTGTGGTCCCCTTAACTGAGAATACCTCCAGTGCCATTTTTGTATGTCTCTAAAATTGCAAGCTGAAATATATGTGGACCTATATAATTTTCTTGGAACAAAGCTATATTTGTGCTCTACACTTGCAATACCATAACTTGCTACAGAGCTATGGGGGGAATTTTGTTGTAGTTTTTGGAAAACAAAAAAGTAGCCATCCAGAGACTAACTCATTAGGCCATAAAGACATCTAAATGAAAGTGAATAAAAGGTTACAACTATTTGTATGAATTTCTAATTTCTTGTGACTCCAAAAGTGCTCCCTGGGCTAGCTGCATTGCCATCACCTGGGAATTTGTTGGAAACTCAGATATTCAGATACCAGCACACCTTGTGAATCTGAGCTTTCATTTTAACATGATCTTTCAGTGAGCCACACACACATTAACATTTGAGAAACATTATTCTTGTTCACTGATTCTCACACTTTTCTGCATAAAAAAGTTACCTTAGGCCCTTTACAAAATTTCCTGTTTCCATGTCTGTTCTCAAAGATGCTGGCATATGTATTGGATGTAAAGATAGTTAAAAGATGTTGGATGATTCCAATATGTATCAAAGAGTAAGAATTATTGCTTTACCGAATGCATCTTGGTAATTTTGTGACTTCCTACTGAAAAGAAGGAAAAGGTTGGGCTGCTGTTATCTCTGTCGGCATCTTGAGGGATCTTTCAGTCTCATCCTTAATGAAACTTTATCCATTTTCTCTTTCTATAGAGTGAGTCCATCATTTTCTATACTGCTTGGCTGGACAAAACCGTCAAGCTACATAGTAAAAAGAAAAGATGTAGAATTGTACATGGGGGAAAAAAGGGAAGGAAGGAAAGAACGAAGGAAGGAGAAAGGTAGGAAGGAAGAGAGAGAAAAAGAAAGGGAAAGACAGACAAAACACATGGTTGTGTATCTTCTTGCTAGTTCTAACTCTGTTGTCCTGCCTCCTCCTGTTCTGAAGCATGTGCACATTATGAAGGATGTATTTCCTCTTATCAGCTGGGAATCCCTTGGACTTGGTGCTTGAATAATGCAGGAGCAGGCCAGCAAGCGTGCTCTTGGCACGACTGCACATAAAAGTCCACCATGGTTTTTTTGCTCTTTGTTGCTGAGAAATCTGAGGGAAATGTCTATAGACTGAATTGGATCTTCTAAAATATTGGTAATTTCTTTTCATTTTGTGACAAATGTTTGCTCATGCCAAGATTTGCAGCTCCCGAAAAATTGAACAGGGTGCTGTTAAATATTTTAGGAAATGAAGAAGCTCCAATTACTTTTAATTTTTTATGTGCTGCAGATCTATGGGATCCAAAGAATATGTCATATTAAACCAGTTTTAATTGGCTCATCAGGGCTTTGTCTCTGCTTTGCTAATTTTAGCTATTGGAAAGCAGTCATACCATGAGAAAATTAAGAATCTAGACATTCAAAACTTTAACCATGACTCTTCACCATATTGGAGCACTTCAAAAAGTTTGTGGAAAGATGACGTTAAATGATAAGGTGCATTTTTCATTTTGAACTTTCCAGAAGTTCCTCTCATTCGCATTTCTTTAAATCTACAATGCAGGAATAGGTTTATCCCAAGAGTTTGAGCATTTTGATGACTCAATTGGCAGGTGACTTATCAGAAACAGTTTAGCTATGCTGAAGATGTAAGAACACTGGTATATCATCTTCTATCTTTACTTGTAAGGGAAAGCACTGATTAATTTCTATGAAAAAGCACTCATTTCTCATTCTCTAGTATCCATGCAACTGGTGTATAGATAGTTCATTAAAATACAGAGTAGCAAGCATTAAAGGGCATTATAAAAGTAATACAGGCAGTATCTCAGATGCTGAGGAAGAATTTTGAGTATCTTTGATTAGAGACAGAATTAGTTAAGAAAATTCGAAAGCTGATCAATGCATATAGCCAAGCCTGTAAGCAGAATCAGGACAATGTACCCTGGAAGATGTCTTGCATGACTAACAACAACCAACTAAAACCGTGTCATTTTGGAATCAAACATCATGTACCTTACTGTGATCAATTTCAGAAATGCGTTCTTGCCACCGTCTTTGAGCAACAAGAGGTATAAAGCCCAAAGGAACAGCAAACCAAAATTAAGAAAAGTTTGTTTTTACATCATTTTTGAAAATGCTAAGAGGATTCCAATTTATTTCTTGGAAACAAGGGAAAAATAAAATGTACCAAATTGTTCCTTACGGTATCCTTTAAAAAGTTTTCCAAATTTGGTGAATATTTCTGTCAATCATTTTTCAAATAATACGTGCATAGCACAGTGAAATGAAATGCAAGTTTTTATAGGAACACCAAATAGATGTCTTAACTAATGTTATCGATTGTGATGGTGAGAAACCACTGCCTAAAAGTTCCCAGAATGAGCAAAACAAGCATTCTAAAAGTCCAGCTTCCACAAGGACTCATGAGGATAGAGTGTCCTGGTGTCACACTGGAATTACTTCTTCATTCTTTATCCTGATTCGCTCTGGGCTAGTCTGAAGGTTTTGTATTGCTTTCTATTGCTAAGAGCCTCTTTACTCAAGTCAAATAAAAAGGGGTTATAGCTTATATGGAAGAGGACTGTCTGTGAAAGCAATTAAGGCTGTTCTATAACCATCTGCCTCCTTAGGGTGTTGTTGCTGATACCTCTCCCCAGACAGTGGCGCCTTCATCCCAGGATACCAGTGGTCAGCAGCAACAGATACCAGTGGACACATCCAATGAACATGCACCTGCATATTCATACCAACAATCTAAGTAAGTGTGGTCTCTATTGAATTCTTTTTCCTGGGATCAGCCAATTTAACATCATTCTTTCATGGTGTGTCTACAACATTTTACTGAAGTACCAACTTCTCCCAATTTCGTGGCAACCATTTATTTCAGTTTCAATTATGAGGATGGAACTTTTGGGCCGATAGCAGCTGGATGGTCATATGCTCTTAGACTCAGGAACCTGGTAATGGTGCCGATGACCCCCGTAGCTCTGCTTCTGAGTCTAAGGCAGCTGTTGGTGGGGGTGCTTGGGAGGAATGATCACATTCTTGATAGATATTCTAGAATGTGTTTCAGAGAATTCCAGAAATAGTACAAACAAGCCTATTCTTCAACTCTCTTTGTGTCTCATGTCCTTGTGTTTCATTGGATAAAAGGGATCACGTGCTCAAGAAGAATCAAGATAGATGTTCCATAAAAAAGTGATTGGTATTGTAGCCATCTTCTCTAGACAGGAAACCGGGGCAGCCAGAACATGAACTGGTACCCATATGGGATCCTGGCACCTGCTAGGAAAGATTAGTCAACTGAGCCATTACACCATGCCCTTGATGCTAACAATTTAATAACATCTGAATAAGAAGAAGCATGCTTTCATTCCCTCACCATCATTTATTTAGTGTCTGCTACAAATTGCTAGCAAAAGAGACATATCTGAAGCCTCCATCACTTTCTTGCAAAGCTGATTATTGGAACAATTGCTATTGCTAGAGACTAGGAAAGGACCTAAGATTAGGTATGAGACGGTATCTTCTCATTTTGACTTTAGAGATTGGTAAGACTCTTTGAAGCCAAATTTAGGACTATTTGGAACAAAATAGGGATTTAGAGTCTTTGAAGGGAGAGAAAAATGCAAATATGCTCCCACCAATTCAGAACCTCCTCATCTTCCGGAACGAGTAAGTAAGTTTTAGTCACCCCAATGTGTCAGCCCGTGATTAAGTCCTCCCTTCTGTCTCAGGACTGCGTCCACACAAGATGGGAAGCACCTCTCCATGGACATTTTGTGGTGTGATCTCTCGGATCCAGAAAAAATCATCTTTACTTCCCCTGGATTCCATTGATTGTCTCCTTGTCCACTTCCACCCTCAGACCTTACTGCACTCTTTGCACTGCACCTTTTGTTATAGCATCTGAAATTGAGTCTTATGGGAAATATTAACTTTCAAGGAAATGCAGCAGCCTGATCCAACCCTGGGATTTGAGAGCTGTCTTTGCTTGTTTGTTTTGGGGTTTTTATGTTTGTTTTTTTTTTTTTTCGAGATGTGGAAGTAGAGTAGCAAAGAAGTATGAAAAGGTGGTTTAGAACTGAATTTTCTGTATCAGGTGCCTTGCTGAGTGCTTTGAGGGCATTTCATTTGTTCTAGCAGCTGAGGTGAGCGGTTCATTTGGAAGCAATGTATCTGCATTACTGTTAATGTAGTTGTTTAGAGAGCAGTTGTTTAGGAGCATTGGTCTACACTGTGAGTATGACAATTGTATTGGTGGGATCTGGATTGGAGAAAGAACAAGACAGATAAGACTTTAAGGTCCCCGCACAATGGCATAGTGGTTAAGGTCCTCACCTTGCACGCACCAGGATCCCATATTGGCGCCGGTTCTAATCCTGGCAGCTCTACTTCCCATCCAGCTCCCTGCCTGTGGCCTGGGAAAGCAGTAGAGCATGGCCCAAAGCCCAACGCTTTGGAACCCTGCACCTACGTGGGAGACCCTAAGAGGCTCCTGGCTTCGAACTGGCTCAGCTCCAGCCGTTGCAGCTGCTTGGGGAGTGAACCATCGGACGGAAGATCTTCCTCTCTGTCTCATCTCTCTGTATATCCGCCTTTCCAATAAAAATAAAATAAATCTTTAAAAAGGAGAACAAAATAGATAAGACTTTAAAATTCCGAGCAAGTCAATGTAGTCATCGATGCCACAAACCAAGGCAGACAAAATAAAAACTCTAGGAGAGTATGATTTGTGGGGAAAGACAGAGTTTAATTTTCCTTTTGAGGAGGAGGCATATCCAAGAAGTTCTATACCTTGAGAAATCTGTGGAAGTTGGAGTATGGCTTAATAAGACTTTTGAAGTGTTTAAATGTCTTTAAAATTAGGATCACATCATTATGGTGTGCCTTAACCCCGGAATTCTTGTGGTTGACCATGATGAGTTTTCCAAATGTAATAAATATCAAGGAATGAAACCTCCCCCCACCCACATGGTCTTTGCAGTGAAAACTACGATGAAAGTTGTCTTGCTTCGAATGTGCTTTTGCAAGCTTTAAGCTGGAGTGTATGTGGCAGAATATTCCACAGGTCATGCTTACATTGCTTCCCACTAGAAATGAAAGCACCCAGAAACATGTGACATTCCAGAGATGTGACGTGTAAAAAGCTAGGAGGACTTATCTTTCAGCTTGTAAAAAAAAAATTAACAAGTCCTACTTATATTCTCAACTTCTTCTCCTTGGTTTTAGATTTTGACTAAAATAGCAACATCTCCACTACCAACACCAAAAGTTTGAATAAATAACCTAAGTAAAATAAATGCACAGTTGTAAACCAGTTTTTGAAATGTTATAATGTGACTCTACCTACATTTTTATCGGTTTCAACAAATAGGAACTGGTCTATGCCATGGTAAGACATGAGCTTTAAAAAAATTAGGATTTATTTATTTTTACTTGAAAGGCGGATTTTACAGAGACACACACACAGAAAGAGAGAATCTTGCGTCCGGTAGTTCATCCCTTAAATGGCTGCAAAGGTTAGGGAAGAGCTGAGTTGATCTGAAGCTAAGAGCCAGGAGCTTCTTCCAAGCCTCCCTTGTGGGTGTCAGGTACCAAGGCCTTTCGCTGCTTTCTCAGATCATAAGCAGGGCACAAGACTGAAGATAGAGGATTAGTGTGCTACACCACCATGTTAGCCACAAGACATGAGATTCTTGGAGGAAACATTCGAGAGAGATACAGGGATTTGAACTTGAGTATTTGAGCTCCTCAAACTGGTTTGTTTCTCATTATTGGGAAGAGTCTATGTGATGTAAGGGCAATCGAGGACACATTTATCCACCAAACATTCATTAGAAAATAGGCACAGGCACATCTATACAGCTTTTTCTGTCCATTTCATAGTTTCAGCTCTGTCCCTTAAATTTATCTGGCCATAGCTTCTGTTTAAATACGCATTTGAGTTAGGTTTTACTGTGCTCAAGAAGTAGCATTATTAAGCTTCTAGAAGTCACCAGCAAGCTAGTTGACGTTCTGGAGCTCTATGTCCACACTTTGTTCTTTGTTTTTGCCCTCATAGAGATATGAATTCAAAGCAGAGGCCTAAGTACGGTGCATAAGTGAGAGCAGGATTTATTTTAAAATGTGAGCATGCATATTCATTCAGTTATGAATATGGGTGGCTCCACTGGGAACAATACCCATCCTGTGAGGGCCAGAGTTGCCTATGGTTGGAGAATGTGCAAGGATACCAGAAGAGGATCCAGGAGCAACGGTCGCAAGTCCAGAAACAAAACCATCGTTCCCCCATGTTAACAGTCACTTTTAATGAGATGAGCGATAGCATCCTAATTAAATCCACAGTTGGGGTAGGAGCTGGGTTGCTTTAGTGTGCTTGAGTTCCTCTCAAAGTTTCATGGCACTTTCTGATGGCTGTAATGACTTCTTCTCCTTCATGGTCCCAGATGAATCACAAGTGGATCATTGGAATGGGGATGGATTGGCAGGTGAGACATGGGATTACCAAATAGGACTGGCAGAAATTTTGAGAAAAGTATTCCAGGAAGTATTCCTAATTTGCCTTATTGTTCCATATCAAAATCTCAAGCAAGATCTTGAGTTTATGAACTACAGATTTCACAACACTTTCCTGTTCCGATATACTGGGGAGTGTCTCTACAATCATAGAGCCAGCCCGTGATATCTTCCGTCTTTCAGATTGTGCAAGTGGCAGTTGATTTCCAGCATCGTTTTGCTAATTAACATGTCACTACTTTCAGAGGCAATCCATTTTTCACCATAATTATGCTAATTGAGATAGGGAGAGCTTAAAGTACTTCTATGAATCCCTGGCCTTTCTCATTAAGTGCCAGCTGACCTTCTGTGGTATGTGAAACTCTGATTAGGGCAACCCCTGAGAAGTAGCTTGACCCTTCACACAAATATTTAATCCCTAACGTCTTCACTAAAGACATTGTAAATTAAAGATATAACACCAAAAGGCTTTAGGAGTTTGAGAAATATAAGTGATGCGCCCATGAATAAAAGGCTATTTTTAATAAACAACATTTACATATCCACAATTCCACTTCCCCCATTAAACACAGGACGTGACATTCTGTGTCCATACATTTCCCCTTCCTTGGTTAAAAAAAAAAAGTTGTAAATGCAAACAAAGGAACAAGCAATGACAGAGGGTGTATTTCAGAAAATCTATGGGAATTCCAGTTCCCACCCGTGCCATCTATTTGTGTGTTACATTAGAGATTTCAAGCAGAGCTTGGATCATAAGGATTACAGCTAGGATCATAAGAAATAAAAGTTTAGGAGCAAAGTAAAATTCTCACATTCAGAATCTGAAGTCCTGGGCTCGCACTCCAGGGTTGTTGCTTCCTAGTTGCCTTTCAACGTGTGAGGTCTCGTGTTCCTCTTCTTTGTAGTAAAATCCCTTGACATTTGTTCTCCACCATGTACTTTAGGTCACTAGTGCTAAGGGAGAGTTCACCACTACTCCTTGGTTTGAGGAAGTAGAGTGAAATTCAACTCTAAACGGAGTGAAATGCTGTACTTGATTGTATTTCTCTTCAAAACCATGGAAAAGAAGTACTAATGCATGGGGCATTAGGGAAGAGCTGAGCTGATCTGAAGCTAAGAGCCAGGAGCTTCTTCCAAGCCTTCCTTGTGGGTGTAGGGTACCAAGGTCAGATAAGTACTTCCTGAGAGCTTAGCTATGTGCAGCCTTCATTCACTACAATTCCCAAATTTGTTTCCCTCCAAAAAACATATTGCATTATTTAAAAATCCAAAAAAAGTGACAGTCTGCACAATGATTATTTTGATATTGATGTAAGATATGAAGTATCTTTAGCATCCTTCTTTTGGGGGTCCTGGACACATGTTTAGTTTCCTGGATAATTCAGTAGTGGGGATATATTGTGCAGTTTCTCTAAATTTTTGGCTCACAGACTATCTTTTTCCATTGCAACAAATGAATCTGATACGGAAGAAGTTATTCTGAGGCGTTGCACCGAGTGGTGATCTTTAAGACTTGACCTAGTCTAGATTTGTATGGCTTAAGTGTGTTACTTTTCAGTCTAGCCACTGATTTTTTTTTTTTTTTGAGAGTGGAGATTAGCAGAGAATTGATAATGACTCTATGTCCCTTAGCCGAGTCAAGTGCCCAGTCTGTGATACTCACTCTGACTCTAGAAGCTCCTTCTCATTGCAAGACCTTTTGGTTTTTCCAATCTCTGCTGACTAACCAAACTGCGAGAAACACTAAGTCCCTCTATGTTGATACATTCATGTGGTGAGAATTTTTCTTACAATACCACATTCTGTGTAAAAAGTGCTTTACAATTTGTAAGTCTTCTTAACATCCATGATCCTTACATGAATTACTCTACACTGCACGCCATTTATTTTCCAGAATATTCTCGTGATCCGACTTAAACATTGCCCCTTGCTAATGATCATAGCCTCGAAACATAGCCCTCATCTCTTTTCATGAATATTGGTGTGCTTCACAGTCATCATGATGATGCTCACTTCGTCTCGTGCAGAGAAGGTAGGCAGGAATAAAGCCAGCTCGGTTAAACAGCGACACCTTTCCCCTTCAAACTTCAGCTGTTGACCATGGACATGCCGCACCGTTCATTTCTCCTGATTTGTGTTCATGTAATAGGAAGGCCCCTTTAAGACTTTGACAAATTATGGGATAAAATTATGGAAAAACAGTTGATAGAAGGCTGGAAGACTTAAAAGTAGCTTCAGTCCAGCTCATAAATATTGATGCCAAGTACCTGAACACTGAGAGCTTTGTGTCACTGTGTTCCACAAAGTAAGACGTCAGTGGCCGAGCAGCTGTTTTGGGATTCATGATTGTTTAGGCATTTTCTATTTAGTTGCACAATACCCGTGACAGACTGGAGGGAGAATAAAAACCAGAAAAAAAAAAAAAAGGTTAAAAAGCACAAAGTCAAGGAAAAAAACATTGTTTGCCATGCTAAGATACATTTTTGGAGATAAACTGTGTAATTGGCAAAGTTGATGATAGTGAAAAGTACGCTGCTCGTGTGTCTTAGAAATAAATTTCATCTGATTATTATTGCAATTATGAAGATTATCATTGTAATGTCTTTCAGAAAAACAATATTTTTGTAAGCTACAGTTGTTTATGAATTTATATGCAATTAAATGTATTAGTCATATTAACATTTAGGTACAATTAAACATTTATCAGTGCAAGTTTCTGCAGCTATCAACTATTTGGTAATATATGCGTGTATAAGCTATAACCCTTGGAGACATATTAGTTAAGGAATGGAGAGATCTTTCCTATCAACCAGCCATATTTGTTTCATCATTGTAGAAATGAGTTCACCAGGATCCTAACAGACCAACATCCACAGCTGCGTTCAGATTGCTTTTTGCAAGTTAGGAGAAGTGGGTGGACTGGAACAGATCCTCCAGGCCTTCATGTCCGTGTGTCACACCGTGTACAACCTGCACACCTATACCCTGCGGCCCTGATTCTTACTGAGTTAAGCAAACAAGCAACAGAAGAATTTGCAAAAGTTTTTTGCTGTCATGCAGGGCCCTAAAGAAGGAAATGTTCTTCTACGTGTGACCTGAAAGTAGTACTTTTGATGGTGCAGAGATTTTGATAGCTCAACCCTAAAAATGCTTAAGAGAATCCCAACTTGTGGGCCAAAAAAGATCAGAGTAAAGGTCAACCCGCAAGAAACCTCATCCTGCAATACAGACTGGGAAACAGCAGGTGGCAGTATTTGGATAGGGCTGAGCAAGGTGACATACTGTGAAGGACATATTTTTTTAAACACCTTTTATGCACATAGCACTCTTCCAGATATCTGGTCAGTGAAAAAAATACAAATAAAATATACAGTCCCATTCTCAGTGTTTATAGGTTTAGGAGGGAACAGTATTCTTAATGTTTTCGTCTTGATTTTTAATGTGACCTAATCCCTCACTGGACTCTGTATTTGCATGGAAGTGAGAGAATTTGAGACTCTCATTATCTCATTGACTCTTTGGTTTGATTATATAATTGCTTCCAAGATCGTGTTATATTGAAAAAGGCCGGTATCATTCGGAGAGACACCACTGGGACAGAGCAGAGAAGGTCATGTCCAAGTTACATTACTGTGATAACCACTCTTCCCCGATTGTTTTCACAGACCATAAACGGGACTGCAGAATGTCCGTGGAAACTTTGCCTTGAATGAAGAATCTTCATTGAACAAGAAGTTGGCTCCCAGTTTGCACAGGCGTCTGTAGAAGGCTTTTTGTGTCTTTTAATTTTTTAATTTTATACTTTACTCAATGAAAACAAAGTTTTTATGTGCTGTGCAAATGGTTCCTTCATGTGGTCTGACAATTTATTTTTTTGCAATCTTATTTTTTTTAATTAAAAAAAATCCCAGAAGAGGGAAAAAAATCAACAAAACAATACATCGAAAGTTGATGTGTCATCCAGAAGAATATTTGAATTCAGAATATGTCTGAAGGTGTAGATAGATTTTTTTTTAACAGAATACCTGATGTCAAGAGGTGGGCAAGAGAAAATGGAAACAATTGTCTTCCTCAGTAATTAAGCTACTCTTTCTGTCTTCTCCCTGGTTTAAACCTGGTGGTTTTTTTTTTTATTTTATTTTATTTTTTCTTAGAAATATTTAGGTAAGGTTTATCTTGAATCTTAATTGCCTTAATTTTAAGGACGTCAGAGGCTCTCGAGGCAAGCTATCAACGTCTTGTTAAAAAAAAAAAATCAAGAAAGAATTGAAATATTGTTCCGGCTTTAGCTGGTACAGAGGTTTAAGACTGAGTTTTTAGGGTGACAAAAACTGTACAGTTTAAGAGAAAATGTTTTTCTTCATTTGAAGAAAATTTGTTGATAACAGAAACCATGGCAACTGCAAGAATTTGGAAAAGTGCGGGGACTTTTCACGAACTTTGTCTTCAGTGTTGACAGGAATCATTCTTGAAGGCTAAACCCTTTTACGATAAAGTTATTAATGTTGGTTTAAAAACAACTGCATTAGAAATAATGCGTGTTTTGGGGGGCAGAATGCAGATTTTTTTTAATTTACAAAGCGTGATCGCTAGCAAAAGCAGTAGTGCTTTTTATCTGCAGTCTTTTTTATGAGCTTTACAGAGTTTTTAGTCAGCTTTGCTTGTCACATTGCAAAATCTAGCTTAAGAGCATTAAAAAAAAACTTACGTAGATAGGAGCTTATGGTCAAAAAGTGCAAAAAAACAAAAACAAAAAAAAACACAAAAAACAAAAAAAGCAATAGATAGAGAAATTGTTGACAATTTCTGTAGTCTTTCCTAGTTGTGATTAAATTCAGCCTATGGATGGCCTATTTTATACCAAAGATAGAGGTTGTTTATCTTTTCTTTCCTTTTTTTTTTTTTTTTGGTTTTAAATTTATTTGACCTATGTGGCCGGACCAGTTCTTATTTTGTTGTCTGTTTAAACTACCTTCCACTGATGTTTTACATTCTACAAAAAATGGGAAAAAAAATGTATTTTGTTACTTTACATCTGTGTTCCTTGATAATAGAAGTTTGTATCTGCTGCCTTTAGCAGGTGGAGCATGAAGAATTCTGGGTACAGGTTGATATCAAGTGGCTTTAAATTCCATGAGCTTCGCTGGTTGCTGGTTACAAACCAGTGTGGATGGGTTGAAATGTCTTTATATGAGTCGTGAACAACAGATAACTCCTGATCCTGGTCGGAAAGGTCAATTGTCAGAAAGCTTTGTGGTATTTCGTGCAATGCTGGGTGGTCTCCTGAGAAGGTTGCACTGTCTTTGGAACCATCTTCTTCCTTATAAACTCCAGATCTCTCGAGTTTCTTTTCCTCTCAGTTCTTTTCTTTCTGCACCGTGAATAGCCACCTCGACTCCACAATTGGGGAAGGAGTATATTGTTATTACATTTGTATGTTTGCATCTTAATGTTGCCAGGAAAAAAAAAAAGACAGAAATAGAACATTTTCTTTCAGTTTATCTCTGAGGCAAGTAGGACCAATCAAGTTAAAGATTGTGTGAGTGGAGGTTAGAAAAGCTCTTAAAATGCTGGCTGACAATCAAGCAATTGTATGATTCATTTGAAAAAAAAACGAACAAATTAATTTGATCAATCATTAAAACCAAAGGAGATACAATTGCATTTGAAATGATGCAAAACATTATCTAAAATGAATCGACTTCCCTTGAAAACATGTCTAAATTTTTCATTGTTCAACATGTCTAGCTTTACCTAAAATTAAGGATGATGGAATAGGGTTTTGCTGACTCAACAATTCATATGGTGTTGTGAAAGAGTCATTTGGGTGCAGTGGTGAGGCTCTTTCACAAACTAAAATGCTCACATTCCTTAGCCCATGAGGGAGAGAGGAATGCATTAAGTACCGTGTAAAACAGGGTAGAGTTTTAAGAAGTAAATAGTTTAAACAGTAAAGCATATCCCGGTTAAGCACCAATGTCGATTCATTTGAAATTACCAATATTCCAATGTTGAAATAGACTTTGGGTCTCTTATTTGACACCTCCTGAATTTGAAGCTTCTATCTAGAAAGTTGACTTCGCATCTTGATGCCTAAAGGAGCGAAAGTGTAACAAAGAAAACGTCGTATGTGCTACAGAGAAATTCCTTCTGGCCACACCCATCTTATTGCTTTCTGTATTTTACAGAAAAATCCTAGGATTAAACTTTCTTCTTTCAACTTTCAGTTGCCCGTGTAATTGTTAAGTGTAGCACTGATGCTTCATCTTTGGAAAGGGAGCCTCAAGTTACCACGCCTGGGAAAACAAAAGTATGAGAAGCATGATTTGATTTTGTTTTGTTGTTCACTTTCTGTACTCTTTGTATACATAATTATCCTGGGCATATTTATCTGAATATGAAAGCAGCATGCTTTCTTTTGTTTCTGTACAAAACAAAAAAAGCAAAAACCTAAAAATCTACATGTATATTAGTGTGATACAAAGAAAGTCTCATTTACACACTCAACAATGAGGCTAAGAGGTAGCTACCATGTGGCTGATGAATACGCCTAGGTAACTCCTGTTTCTATTCCAAATTGATGCTTTATTTATACATTCAGAAGCATTTTTTTCAACTATGAAATTTCAATACTCTCAATTTTTTTAAGTCACTTCAAGCAGACGGAAATTACTTGTCATTGTCTGTGTCCTTGTGTGTTTTGTGTTTGGATTGCTTTTGTCATGCATTTTATAAAATATATCATTTCGAATGAAAAAGAAGAAAAGTGGGGAGGAAAATGGCAGATGTTCAATTTTACTCCTTGATTGTTGTCTAATCTAAGAATCGCTTTGCAAGAGTAAAGTCTGTGGGAAAATACAGGAACCAACAGGTGAGCGGCATTATTACATTGTATGAAAAATAAAAGACATCGAAATAAGTGTTGAGCTCAAGCCAGACATCAGAATTCTAATTTGGCCAATAAGTCATCGTGATTTTATTCTATTCAGGACTACAGTCATTTTCTAAGCTCAAGTTAATTTTCCATGTATTCTGTAAGCATTCATTCAGATGGTTCACTTTTCCATTTAAATATCCATGTGGCTTAAATATCAGGAAATAAATGAAAGCCACAATCCAAATGATTTCATCACAATTGCTTCTCCCTTTTAGTTGCCTTGTCAGTCAGTAGGGTTTTCTGTTAATGATGATGAAATAGTATTGGAAGATGCTCCCCAGTTGGCGGCATATCTTCCAGGGGCAACAATAAAGCATCCTCAGTGAACTAAAAATACTAATAGCAGGTGCTGCTCATAACTTGTTCTATCAGTCTTGAATATCAATAATGACCTGATAGTCTAAAAAAATGAAACAGCAAAAAAAAAATCTTTTACCTGACTATAGTTTGACCAGTTTTAGTTTGTTTTCTTGATATGGTTCAGCAGTTCAGAATATTGCCTCTGTATTTCACATTGGAAAGTACATGCCTTGCTTGCATCTGCCTTTAGTAAACAACTGTGTTTCTAAAAATTACTCTCCTGGACATGGAAAGCTGAGTGTGCAAGAGGGCCGCATGGAGTAGGCATTATTTTATTTCACTGTGATTAGAAAACATATCAATGACCTCATTGCGAAGTGGCTTTGAATTGCCTTTTAGTTCATGAGGGACCAAAACTTCTCCAGAAAGGTATTTTTATTTGGGCAAGTGGAATTCTATTACTTACCTGTTGATCTTTCCCAGTGGCTTGATGTGAAAAGTGAAATTTGATATAAATAAGACCCCTACAGTTTTCTTCATACTGGAAAAGCATTGATGGACTGTCTAGACAGATCATCATGCTAAGAGACTAAAAATCCATCTGACAATTCAATCGCATTTTCAGCTTGAACACATGAGCCACAGTGTGGATAAGCTGATGAACAGAGAGAAATACTTAAGTGGCTTTCTGTTATAAAAGCTTTTATATGATTTCAAGTCAAGTGAAGGGACAATATTTATGTGTATGTCTAGTAACATCCGGCACATTCGAGGAGTCACACATTTAATAAAATTTAAGCATGATACAGAAGCTTGATATATAATATTTTGTCACACAGCAAGGAGTAATGAATGAGATTCTATTTTCTATGTTAGCGTGGTGGGCATGCATCAAAATTTCGAGCTCCCCAGGATTGACAGCCTTTCGCTTCATGCTGTGGAACTGGCTGAATTTAAAGACGCTCATTGATCCTGTGCAGTATACCTTTCCTGCGACAGAGTGGGAATAGAATTTCATCAATGGATCAATTCATTTTACAAATGACATCCACTTTGGTTTTGGGGGACGGTTGAGTCTGATGCCCGTTTGACATTGCTTTACCACATATTGGCTAAGGAATTTTTCCCTTCATCCAAACGCTCGTGAGCATCGCTGTCCTTTGTGAATTCCAGGCTGTTGAGGAATGCATGAAAGGCTGAGTGCTGAATCCCCAAGGGGCTCCAAACCATGTCATGATGTGAGCCCGTTCCAAACGAATGAGTTCTTTTACATTTGGTTCTATACCATGCCATATAGATGCTTAATTTCACCAAAGGGGGTTGATGGCATCTCATTATTCATTTTTGCTTGCTCTTGAGATGGAAAATAATGTAGTGTAGGAAGCTTTTTCAGCTCAGAAAGGTCTGAAGTTAAAGCGCAGGTGACAGAAAACTTGGAGTCTGAATAAAATATCACTAAGCCCCTGAGTCACTCTTGAGCTTTTCTGTATATTGCCCCAATTTTTTATTTGTGCAAACACGCGAGCATCACTCTTAAATTTTGAAGGGCTAATTATTAACTTCATGGGTGTGTTTTCTCTTTTCAAATCATTAGGCCTCAGACTCTTTCCTTTTATTAGCATTTTACCCAAAAGATGGAAAAAGAAGCAATTGGAAATAAAATTATAATCAATCTGTTTCCTTAAACATGGTTTTTTTTTTAACACGTTTGAAATTGCTGTTAAGTGAATTCTTGCACATTAGTTTCTGTAGATTTTGGTGGGTCGTAATGTCAGTTCGTCATCTACCATGTATTGTTGCAGAATAAAAGAAGGACAAAAACAAACAACAATTGGTTGGCTTCCCTCCAAAGAAAGCTGTTTTTGGTTTCATTCACCCTACTGAACGGAGGCAAGTTAAGCCTAATTTCTGGTAAGCGTGTATCGCAGTAACTCCAGTTAGAGATACGCTTACCATGCTCTTACCACGAGGACAAGAAAAAAGGCATTGTTCCTAGGATGTTTGGACTTTCACCTTACTGTATGTATTAAGGCTGAAAAACTGACCCTTCAGTGGATATTGTGACGATAGCATCAAATTTAAATACCATCCAAAGTGTAACTTCAGTGTTATGCTTTGTATTTTTAACCTTCTCTTCTTCGAGTGTTGAGAAACAGGCCCTGTCCTGCTCTCCAAAATATGTTATTTCCACACGTGGACATAGGAGTTATTTCATGATTTTCAGGAGCTGCAAATATTTGCTTCAAGGAAACATTTGGAAGTGATTCCTCCATTCTGGAAAAAACAAAAGCAAACAAACCAACAAGCAAAAAATCTATTTTTTAAATAGCTGAGGAATGTAATTGGAATCTTAATTTTAAAAGAATATATATGAAAAGGCTATGAAATACTCAGTTTCATAAAAAAAAAAAAGAAAGAAAAAAAATACCATGGACACAGTTTCTGTTAAAACCCTAATTGTGGGCCATTTACAACATCATGGGACTTCTGAAAGATCAT